CACACACACACACACACACACACACACACACACACACACACACACACACAAATGCTTTGCCTGTGGGTTTGGCTGGTCAGTCCTGCTGACCCTGAATGCAGACACGTTTGCTTTCTGGAGCAGCAGATTGCTTTATGGTTAGAACTAGCACTAAGCTAGCACCGCTTTCAATAATCTTTTTTGGCAGTTTTTCTCCTCCCATTTTTTTTTACATTTTTCAACCTACAAGACTAAACCAAACCATAGACACTTTTTAGTGCTTGTTAGCTAACAGAGGCTGTGAAAACACAAGATGACAAATACATTTGGTAAATACAAAACTAAGGGTCATGTAAACACAGTGCAAGAAGAGAAACAAGATGCCGCTGAAGTCTCTTGTAGAGATCACCACGCTCAATAATTTATAGCTATCTTCTTTTATGTGTTTGACTATGAGATAGAAAGTATATTAATAATATCGTGCTATATTTCACATGAGGTTTAATGTCTCTGTAATATAATAAAACTCTTTATTAAAATAAAACTGATGGGAGTTTGATTAAGGAAAAATGTAGGGTGTCACTACAATGTGCTCTTGCACCACACAACAATATTGTTCAAATGGTGAACATCAGCAAAACTGAGCTTGTGAAACTGGCACGTACGATATTAATAGACATGTATTCATATGCAATAAACTTGTCAGTGATAAGCATAAAATAAAATAAAACGTGCATCAACAGGCAAAATGACTATACAGTAGTATACATCCTACCAAGCCTAAGTCAATGAATATCTACAGAATAAATTTGATTTTTAAAAAATGTAAGGAATATTTTGTGTACAAAAGTGTTCCAAACATAAAACGTTACAATTTAATTATTTTTTACATGATGGTCCTTTTAGGAAATGTGCATCACTACCCAACAGAAAGGCTGTTCATACCGCAACAACCACAAAAAGCTGCTTCTGATTTGAGGCTCAAACGTTAAGCTCAGAGATTAAAGTGAAAATGTTTAAGTCTGTCATCGATTTACAGCATAGTTTAACAGTAATAATCCGCCTTACTCGGCATGAAATACTGGTTAGCTCTGGTAATGTAAATTTCATTTTAGAAGGGCTTATTTAAACTATGAACAAATACAAAGTAATAGCCCAACGTTTTAAGTTGTCCCATCAGATTTCATATGGAAATGCAATTTTCTACTAGCTGCTCACATTCAAACACAGTCCCTCTGTTACAGAGGTRAAGATTACTTTGCCTTACGGATGTCACTAGACATAATCAGGGATATAAAACTTGCAGAGTGACCCAAAAGTTTACAGCTTTGTGTACATCTATACAAATGTATTTGTCTTCTGTGTCATTTTTCTTTGTCTACAAAYGATAAAATGCTAATAGTACATTTAAAAGGATACATGTAAATTATTTAAAAAAATATTTGTGATAAAAGTAACCAAGTAACAGCCCTGAATATGGCTGTAGACTTTATTTTTAGTGTCTTATTTAGTATTTGAAAAATGTTACTGAATTTTTTGTACAACAAAACATTATTTGTGGCACTAAAGCTACTCTGTACTAACCATATGACTGTTTATGCTGATACATTTTCAGCTGATAAACAAAGTTACAGAAACCACCATAATGCTCCATGTTCACTGACACACAAGTGTTGCATTTATCATCACTGGGTTAACAGTGCACCGCCGGCATGTACTGAGATCACAAAGGAATGTGACATCCATTCATGTCCGGTATCGGTTTAAATATATCCAGTCATGGGATGTGAAATGCTTTTTTGCTGGCCGAATGCTGGGTTTAGCTCTGTAAGCATCAACAGCTTGTCATCAGAATTGGTGGCTTACGTTTGTCCTATTGATTTTCTAAACACTGTATCATAATTTAAATAATAAATAAAACATTGTTTTTTTTAAATTGCAGCTAATTTTCTTTTGCCTGTGTATCCAATGATTATGAGAGACTAATGATTTCTTATATCTACACAATGTTAAAACACATAGCCTGAAGGCTGTGATCACAAAACATGACTGTATGTGTAGGACGCCTTTAACACGGTCAATCTGGCCACAGATTGGTAATCTGTGATGTCACACCAAGGCTTAGAAGGCATGTGTGCTGATTAAGAGCCAGGATGGATTACAGGTCTTAGTCAAGATTTTTTTTTCATTAAGCCACATACGCTGTGTCCAAAACGACAGGCCGGGTCCTCCGGAGGACCCAGACTCCCCGGTCGCGGCRGGCCGGGTCCTTGGTAGACCGGGAAGACCGGAAAAAAAGAGKCTGTGAATTTGGACGGTCTAGCCTACCCTCCTTACCCCGGCGTACGTCATGTCACCAAGCAACTGTGACGATGCTAAACAAGCAAACTTAAATCAAAACTAGAAAAATATCAATACATTAGCATTATTAATATCACAAAACTATAAAATTAACTTAAAGGTAACATTTGAAGAACTAATTGACCCGTGTTTATTTCGCATTTTTATGATAAAAATAATATTTAAAAACACGTCCATACAAATGATAAAAGTATTAGAATTACAACCGCTAAATTTTTTTAATTTCCATATCACCATATTTTTATTTAAAACGTATTCTTTTCTCTCGCTTCGTCCGCCATTACTAGCTTAAACAAATCTCCGGTCGGGCCGCAATGCATTTTGGGATATGGTGGGCCAGGAAGGATCCATCAGACCTATCCTTCAAATCGGGGAAAAGGAAGGACGTATTTGTCGGCCGCATCGGAGGAGTCTTCGGTTTTGGACGTCCTTCGTCGCGGGGCTGTGACGTATGCGGCCGACGAATTCGGCCTTCGGAGGACCTGGCCTGCCGTTTTGGACACAAGCCATAGTCAGCAATCCAATTAATAATGTGAAGTGTTTTGCCTGATTTTTCTTGTTTAAATGCTACTGTTTTTGTTAGCTCCAGCTATGCAGCATGGAACCAAAAACAGTGAAGCCCGTGTCACTTCCTGTGCCACGCTTTCTACTTTTTGGACCATTTGTGGTGTAAAAAACCTCACCTCAACAGCACATGCTTGACATGCCTTCAGAATTTCAGTGACATCCCCTCAGCCTTAAGGTCACGCCAGTTGCCCAGACATGCTGCAGTTCGCCTCTCGACTCCCATCTCCGCTAAACGGGAGCCAACGCACACCATTTGTGTGTTAATTTCTGTCCCACCTTTTCCTTGGTGACTAGGGTTGGGCATAATCGTATCGTGTGCAATTAATCATCAGAAAAAACATTAATCGATTAGTTTTTGGCACTTGACGATTAATATGATTAATGCCACCAGGCGGATTGACTGGATATTTCCCCGGTCGGTCCGCTCGGTGCTCCTCTCCGCTTCAAATATGACGAACATTTAAACAAAAGTTCTGTAAATCAACACAATTTAAAATTTGAAGTATAGCCTGAGGTCTGTGATTTTAACACAGTTTGAAAATTTTTTTTTTTCGAAGAGCAAATCTTTCCCACTAAATTGGTCGTGTGACTTCGACATAAGGGTGTCCAGGGACTCCAGGGGGATTCATTGTCATATTAATCGTTATCGGCTAAACACCACAATTAATCGTGATTAATTTTTTTTGCCAATATCGCCCAACCCTATTGGTGACACTGCCCCATCTCACACAGGCTTTACAAATACCAAATGTGCCCGTTCGCTGGTGAGATCCTCTCRCCTCCATCACTCCCACTGAGACTTCCTGTTGCTGTGAAATGTTCTGAACTCTGCTGAGATGACAGGACAGGGTGTTTTCAGTTGCACAGATACTGAGAATGTATTTGCATTTTATCACACTGGTTCAAGGGGTTACCTTCCTCAACAAACTGCAAATGGTCTATAATGGGTGTGATAACACTGCGCAGTGCAGAACCACAGCAGCAGCAGCCCCACCTCCCTTCCACTAATTATCAAATACAGATACCTTGCTGCGTGGCTGCTTTGTGTAGAAAATGCAGCTTATTCAGCAAAATTAAACGAAGCGTCATCGTTTCCCTGTCAGCAGGCAGTCCGGCTAAGAAAAAAAAAGTAGGTTAGGCGGTCACTGCTCTGCTTCCTCGCTAGAAGGCAGACCTGGCAACAGCCGAACAATAGTCTTTTGCCTTTAAATCCGCAGAATATTCGTAATTTGCACAATTTATACAAACTGAACAGTTCGCCCACACAGACGACCAACAAACAGGATCAGTGGATTATACTTGCCTAGCTGGCCCTGGCTGATCGTCAGCACGATCTGATCCATGAGGAGGTAGCGGAACTCAACATCCTCGTCGGCGCAGCGCTCCTTCAGCGCCCGGAGGATCTGGACCTGGGGGTACTCCTGGCTGATGCGCCGGTCGGTCACGAACCAAACCCGAGAGCACATTTTTTTTTCGTAATGCGTGTGTTGATTTAGGCTTTTAATAAATAAAAATCCACTGAAAACACAGTAGGAGGTATGCAGTCGGTGCTAGCGCGGGGTTTTTTTTTTTTTAGAGAAGCTCTCACAATGGAAGCGGGACGAGCACGCTGTGATGTGAGGCTAAGAATAATAATAATAATAATAATAAAAAGGACCAGGAGCTCAACCGCTGTCTGGACCTAAGCGAGCTCAGGAGAGCGGATAAAAAAAATGATATCAGCTACGTTTTCCCTCAAATACAGCCATCTAGTCCTGTCCCGGAGCAGTTTGTTGAACCCCGACAAAAGGAAATTCAACACTGGCGAGAAAGACGACGGCGATTTGCCCGCAAAAAAAAAAAAAAAAAAAAAAAAAAACGAGAGGCAGCTCTCTGGCGCCGCGGAGGCAAACAAAGCTGAAGCCCCGCCGCCCCTTGCTTCCGCTCGGCAGTTCAGCTGCTACCAAAGTTTCCTCCTCGAACGCGGCGGTTCAGTGAAGTCACAAACCGCTAAGCTAATCGGTTTATCACAAAAACAAAAAGTAAGCTAGCCGACGCAACTATCTTCTTTCTGGCTCGGTTGGCTGCTATCCACGAGGTATTGGTGCTGAAAAGTGCACGCGCTCCGTTTACAACTCCACTCCTTCGCGTGCTCGTGCATGGCGCAGGGTCTGCCCCCCACCCCCACCCAAAACAAAAGGTTTTCAGGGGCGTCGGCCAATGACAACCCGGAGACCGTGTCTCTGTCCAAACAGCACGCCGGACAAGAGTGGGCGGGTCGCGGCCAGCGCGGACCAATGGGAAGGTCGAGCCTGGGCGCGGGCGCGCGAAGCGCTCGGAGAATCACTGCAAAAAGTGTGTCATGTGTGGCACGAGACCGCGCATTCTCCGAACCGGTTCAGACCAGACATGTGAGCGTGGAGGGTTGGGGAGCACCGTTTTTTCTTTTCGAAAGGGCAGGAAATCAGAAGGTGCAGTTACATACAAGGACTGCCGTGTTCTAACGCTTTGGAGGCTCCGCCGTGGTTTCTAAAATCAAACTTTGTGTTTTTTTCATGTCACTCGTGTTTAGTTCAGGTCTATTGTTTGTCGACGCCATGGAGACAGCTGTGTCGCGTGGGCGGATTGACCCAGTTCTCTCGTGGAGCGGAAGCATGATGGATTTTAGCTGGTGGGCGTTCACAGTGACGTCACATCACAGTTATAATGATCAGAGTTACCAGAATAAATTTATTATATCAAACACACGAACCTGTTCACTTAAATGCTTCTGGACTTGCTGCAGAATTTCACCCGTTTAGTCTACAAAACTTTAAATTCATTAAAGCAGGTGAAATCTCCAAGTTAAATATGCACAACAGAAATAAGATTAGCTGTAGCTTAAAGCTACATTTAACTAAATCTTAGCTAAAATCTGCACAGTTTAAAACCAGCAAAAAATGTAGTTAAAARCAGTACATAAAAGCCGAAACCTGGAAGCTGCTGTGATGCAGCCTGTCAAGTGATTTCAACATGCATTTAAAAAAAATGTGCACAACATGAATCTAAAACTAGTAACACTGAAGCCTAAAAGCTGCAATTTGTAGAATAGCCAAATTAAACAAAATTACTGAAGATAAAATGACTAAAGTTAAAAATGTTTATTCAAACAAACAATAATTTATTCACCCCTGCATCACCAAATGTGTGACCGGTTCAACACATTTATCGTCAAGTTATTTATGCAATATCATCCCCAGTGTCTGAACAGTCAACAACAGTCATGTAGAGGAATAAAACAGTTGGGGTATCCTGTTTATTGTAGACAGGATGTGTCACTGATTACAGAGTTTTAACTATTTTTACCTACAAAAACAAGACTTGTGGTGGGCTGCAATCAGCAACTCTGGTATTTAAACTATGCGTGTTAATGAACACAACGTATTCAGGATCCAAAATCTCATATCTATTGCGTTCATCCAGCGTAAATCGCAAGTTATTGCTTCTTATCTGTGGAATGCTGCTGAACCTGCACGTCTGCTCCTTTTTGTAGGTTTTCTTATGTCTAGAAAAACTGAGGCCTCTCCCTTTTGCATGCAATTTATCTAACTTTGTTTAATATGTTATTGTGTGTGTGTGTGTGTGTGTGTGTGTGTGTGTGTGTGTGTGTGTGTGTGTGTGTGTGTGTGTGTGTGTGTG